ATAATATTATATAATGTATATTTTTATAAATTTAATTTTATATAATTTCAAGTAAATAAAGTTATAAATAAATAATGTTTATTCCGGTTAACACACACATGTTGTGTGAACGGCCATTAAAGTGTTAAGATTTCTTCAACTTTGATTTAAAAAAAAAACAAAAAACGACAAAATGTAAAAGAAATAGAAAGGGAATGAATTTGATTGGATAGTTGGTAAGATGAATTATTAGTATTTTTTTTTCTTTTTTATTTTGCTTTTTTTTTTTGTCTACCGGATGAACCCTTTTTCTAGGAGGAATTTTGACGTAGTAGTCACGATTTTACCAACAGTACAACCGGATATTGAAAACTTGAAAGTCCTGGATCAACAAGAGCAACACAAGTGGAAGTAGAAATAGAATTAGAAATAGAATTAGAAATAGTAACAATAGTAATAGTAGTAGTATGACTTTCATGAACATTCACCAGACGGAGACACCTTTATTGATCAAGTAATAGTAGTAATATTTGAAATCATTATTGTCATAGTTATATCCAATCACCCTATATAATTATTATTACAGTTGTATTCCATTTAATGACAAATAATTGATCGTTAATGTCAAAGTTGTCTTCCGAACTCAATAGACCAAACATTTTGTTTAGTTGTGTTGTTTTATATTTAACAAGATTTTTATTTTCCTTTTTAACTAGTTACGTTATTAAATGTTGTAACAATTGCTAACAACGAAAGATTGAAAGGTGAATACATATATATATATATATATATACAACATGTGTTGAAAAAAAAGAAAAAGAAAGACAAAGAGAAAGAGAGAGAGAGAGACGGAGAGAGAGAGAGAAAAATCAACATTTAATGAACGTCATTGCATAGGTTCACCTGCATTTGAATATTACGAAAACCAGTTTTTGCATTGGTTATTAACATCGTTGTTGTTTTTTTTTTTTTTATTATTAATATATATGTATATTATGTTCCTTCTCAACTTTTTCCTCATTTTATTAATAGAATTCTACAAACCAAAAAAAAAAAACCAAAAAAATATTTAAATTAGATATAAAAATATAATATTACTGTTAAATGTTAATTTAATTTACCTATACAGGCTATTACATTTTTGGATTAAAATACAGTGATAATATGTATAATAATTATTAATAGAATTCTAAAAAAAAAAAACAATATTTAAAGTATGTATAAAAATATATTACCGTAAAATGGTGAATGATCGTTTTAATTAATTTACCTATATACAGGTTTCATCTTCGAATGAAGATACAGTGATAAAATGTATATTAATAATTGTTAAAATTATATTACAAGGAGACAGTTAACAGAAAAATGTTTTTTATTTCTTTTTTTTTTTTCACAAAATCAATTGGAAAAAAATTTGTCAAAAATGAAAAAAAAAATGTGTAAACAAATACACATATATTATAGATAATAATACACACAATCAGAAACAAATAGTACGAGAGTCTGGTTAATACTGGCGAACATTTGCGCAATGGAAAGTCTCGAGAACGTTTGCATTTATTCATATTTTCTCTCCCTGCCCTGTTTTATTTTGCTCGTCGGAGCATCTCCTCGTAACATATGTTTTATATATATATATATTTTGCATTTTACCTTAGAACATACATTTTTACAAGTTTACAAACTCAATACCGTAACGCACGATATCTCGAACATGTCCTCGCACAAACTTAAGAAATATAAACACATATAACACTCACACACATATTTACAAACCTTGAGAATCACAAAAATAACAATATGTATGAATGTGTGTATGTTTTGTTTTTTTTTGTTTGGTATCAAAGTCATACATTCATCAATTCTGATTATATAAATCTCTTAAAAGTTGCAACTGATATTAATCCATCTTTTTTTTTAATTTAATCCTTTTAAAAAAAAGTAAATAAATAAGTAAATATAAGTAAAAGTAAAGGAATATTTTTTACTTTTGGGAAGATTAATGATATGTATTTGGTTTTCAAAATAACAAAATAAAAATATCTGAAATGAAAAGCGAAAGTAAGTTTTGTGGTTTTCGAATATATCAGCGAGTCTCGTTGGGGATTAATAAAATGTGAATAATTAAGAAGTCTACATAAAAGTAGTTATCCTACCTGTAAACGTCATGTTAAGTTTTTTGATCATTACGTAATAAGGCGTTCTTCACCGATCGTAAATTCTAACATTGACATTTTTTTATTATAATATATATTATAATAAAATATTAATATAATATTATATACATATATTATATAAATATATATATATATAATAATAAATAATGTTGTTTTTTATTGTTATACCTTTTATCGTTGACAAAGAGAAAGCATTAGTTTATAAATTATATTAAAAAATCTATAATCAATGTATTATATGTTACATACTAGGAAAAAAAAAGAAGAAAAAAATATTAATGATACAATTCCATCATCATTAACATAATCATAAATGTTTATAATCTTTGTTCAATTATGATAAACATGATTGATCGATTCATCATAATAAAAAGGAAGGAAAAAAACATAAATGTAGGTATATACGTAATTGAAATTGATGAGAAAGCAATTGAGAATCTAAAGAAAAGTAATTGAAAGTTTTGAAATCGATGATTCCAATGCCAGGGATCGATGTAATACGCGTGATCAGCCTTGTAAAAAGGTATTGGTAGACATACCTAAATACAAAATATACATTGAAACGTGGTATAGGTTTTTAAACGAATGGTGTGTGCATCAAATGAATTCACTTGATGAAAGAATGCATTTGTGTTTGTGTGAATGCGATCTTCTAAATAAGTTCTTGTCCTTGAAAACATCCAATACCATATGTAATTCTTGATAGTCTACGAACAGGATCGTATATGGTTACGATAAACTTGTTTAGATCTGGTCAGTAACCGATCTTAACGGTTATCTACGTGACACAAATCAATTGCGAAACTCGTTTGAACAAACACACAAAGATGCAACTGGTATCAAACAAAAAATATTGGATTGTTCAGAAAGTAATTTCATTTTTTTCCTGACACAATACAGTTGCATTAGTTTATGCAAACACGTGAGATCGGTGAGAGGTTCAATTTGTCAAATGCAACTGTTTATGCCCACTTGTAAGTCAATTGCGAAACTCGTTTGAATAAACACACGAAGATACAACTGGTATCAAACAAAAAATATTGTGTTATTCGGTAAGTAATTCTGTTTTTTTTTCTGATACAATAAAGATGCATTAATTAATGCAAACACGTGAGATCGGTGAGAGGTTCAATTTATCAAATTCAACTGTTTATGCTTACTTGTAAGGCCCTAGGTTTAACTTTGAAATGAAAATTGTGTCTTCATTTTTATAAAAGAAAAATGAAATTACTTTCCGAATAACCCAATATTTTTAAAACTATTGTTATTACATTATTGTAGTAATGTTTGTATATAAATACTTTCTCAAAGGAACTTTCGTCAGGTTCTTCTCCATTGTATTTTCAAATACTACACCGAACAAATTTGAGAAAGCAAAGTAGTATAGAAAGTCATTGGCGTATGCCTAATTTGCATGCACTTAGCGAATGCAGTTAGGAAAAACTTTCATTAGCGTGATAGATTAAACGAAGAAAACCAAATCCCCTTAAATTTGTTTCTAACGTAAAATCATTTACTATATTTATCATTAAATTACTATATTTACTTTCATGGTTATTCGAGTTATTTGTTTGTCTGTTTTATTTTATGGCAAAAAGAATTTCTAAGATCAAGATCATTGACGAGGTGTGTCTGGTCATAGAATTTTTCTTGGAATCAATTGGAATTCTTTTATGGTTTTGTTTTGTTTTGTTTTTCTTATAATCATTTTAAGTAATTACAATTAACCTAATCGTTCAATTGTTCTCACTTAAATGATGTTTAATCTCTGTTTGTAATAATTAAGACATTTTTCATTAGTATCATATATTTAATATTATTTTTATGGTATTGTTATTTTTATTTAAATATTATTTTCCATACAAGTGTTCTTTGAATCAATTAGAATTCTTTTATGGTTTTGTTTTTTCTCTTCTTATAACCATTTTAAACTATGTGTAATCATTGCTTGTAATAATTAAGACATTTTCCATTAGTATCCTATATTTAATATTATTTTTGTGTTTAATTATTAATTTTCTTTTATCTTTTTTCTTGTAGTATTCTATTACCAATTGGAAAGTCATAAAAAGAAACAAAATGAAGGAAAATCGGATGAATTTCTTAACATTTAGCAAGAGACACCATATTTGTCATCATTATTATTATTCTTACCGGTACTTAGAAGTTTGAAAAGAAATAAACTTAGGAAATTTCTACTTGTCATCGAGATTGGTTTATCCTATTTTTATTGCGTATATTCAAATTCTACGAATTGAAAAAAAGAGAGAGAGAGAGAGAGAGAGAGAATGGGGTCTTATTCGAATAATTATGTTAGTATAGTGACACGAGAACGTAACGACGGAAGTGAGTGCAACCGGGCTGATCCCGGGACCCACCTGCACTATTATTAGGAATGCCAATGGACTCTAGCAAGGTAGACGCAACCTGCATGGAAAAATATAGACGTTTGTATCGACCAGGGAAGAGTTTTCAACCCCATAATTATCTTTCGCTTATAAAGTAGCCATGAGTCGTGAATCCGTTCAGTTCCATGATAGCTGGGAACAAGCTTTGGATAATAAAAACAAACGCGCGAATAAACAAATTTTATTTTATTATTTATTTATGTATTTTATTTTGTTTTAATCATCATCGTTATTAATCATCATCAAATTATCCGAGTTAGTTCGCGAATAATGCGAACGATTACGGGATCGTTGAGTATGCTGCTCATACACGGTGATTTCAAATTAAATACGTAATAATAATAATAATAATTAACAATAATAATAATAATAATAATTAATTAATTAATTATTATCAGTGACAAGAGGAAAATCAATTAAAAAAAAAAAAAAAAACATGTTCACGCGATTTGTTATTAGATCGTTTTTAATCGTGTTTTTTACGATTGACTTGATCATTTCATTACCAATTGGTCCACCAATAAGAAATTTTGATAATAGACGAAGAGATGATTTGACGGGTGGTTTTGCCGAGTCACCGAAAGTTATAGAAATTCAATTGCCAGTTAAAATTGCTACGAAGGATGATCTGATAGCTTGGGCTAAATATGTGATGAGTTTGATGGCATCAAGGATTAACATAACTTTGTCATCGGTCAAGGAAGAATTGTCGAAGGTTGAACAGAATCGTTTGAAAAATTCTTTGAAAGTTCAAACACCTAGTCAAACATCATCAAGATTTAATAATGAGATTAAAACCAAAGGATCTTCACAATTTCCAACGACACGAATCAATGCCAAACAAGAAAGTAATCTTTTCTTACCACAATATCCAAATTTTGGTACGAAAAATACATTTGATTTGAATGACGAAGAAATCATACGTAACACAAATAACGTTGTAATACCACCTGCTGGAACATATCTTCCTGTACCAATAAGTAATCCTGGAATATCAGGATACAGACAAGAAGAACCTATAAGTAAATTATTCTTCGATGATTTTGATAAAAACTTTACGAATAATTTTGATATCAGAACGTTCAACAACAACGATGATTTAATAAAAAACGTTAATAATAAGTTTATCAATAATCCTTTGGAATTATCAGCACCTATTAGACAAAATAATTTGACAAATATTCAAAGAAATATAAGTGGTGGTCCTATTATACCATTGATAAGCGTACCATTCGAAGCAGTGATCACCATAACGAGAGAAGAACAATCAACCGAATCTACAATTCCACCAAATAAAACAAAAAATCTTTTGGTTATACCGAAAAGAGAACCACCTGATGAATTTCCTCCTTATTTCGAAAGAAATTACACGCTTATCGATCAGGATGGTCAAATAAACGTGATTTTTGATGATTTTATAACTGAGGATAATAAAAATACTTCATCGAAGAAAAATGTTAGACAAGAAATGGACAAAAATAAAAAGGACGATAGAAGAAGACCGTCTAACACGGTTGGTGAACTTTTACAATTGTTAGGAGTTTTAAGAAGAAATTCGCAAAATGAGACCAACGTTAAAACAACTTCGCCAATTTTGAAGATTATTAAAGGTATGACGTCACAGAAGGTACAAACTGCTCCAGCATATAACGAGGTAATACTTTTATCTTTTTTTTTTATTATTTAATTGAAACGTTGATCCTAGTTTATTATTTTTTTTCTATCCTTCTGGAATGTATTGTATCAGAAAAATTAATAGAAAAAAAAAATATTCTCATACTAAATCGTATATTAAACTTTTATTTTTGTTATCTTTGAGAATGACATAAAATACAAAATAAATTTGACAAAAAAGAATTTATTTTATATATGTAATAAATACAAGTAGGATGATGATAATGATGATGATGGTGATGATGATGATGACTTTCATAAGACGTAAACGTAAAAGCAATTTAACGATACGTATATATATAGAAGAAATCGTTTCTATCCTAACAAGGTCTATTCTTTTTAATTATGTATGCGTCTTTCTTGTTAAAACTTATCTTGAGAGTGTCAATGATCGATTACTCAAGCAAGGATAAACAGTATAAAGTCTTTTATGGGAACAGCGGTAGTTGTGTAATGCCATGTCGCAGGTACTTTTAACTTAACGCGTGTGTGTATAAAAAGAACAACAACGATAAAGATAAAAGAAACTATAAAAGAAAATTCAAACCAAAAAGAAAAAGGAAAAAAAGGGAAATGTGATTGGTGTGTCATTTTTGATGGTTTTTAATATTTAATCGAAAAAAGGAAGTATAATTTTATAATTATATTGTTAATCATCTAATTGTATGAAAAAAATTATTTATTTTTATATGTTAATTAATTATTAATTTATTTTAGGAATATATTATAGATGTAAATATGGAAAATTAATTGAATTATATTACATATATAATAATCGAACATATTATGCAAATATTCACCTGTTAATTAAAAACAAATCGATATTACTCATTTGAGTAACGATTTGATTTATTTTATTTTATTTTTGTTCATCTATTTCAGTCAACATTATTGACAAGTAAAGAAGAATTCAACGAAACTAATTCTGATTCACCGGAACTCGAACAACAGGTATCATTTATTTTTACTTTGCTTTTTAACAATTTTTTATTATTTTTTATTTTTTCATTTCGAAATAAGAAAGCTATGGTATTAATTTATTTTTTTGTAGATAGATGATGATTATGATGACGACGATGATCGAATGGGTGGATCGTTACAAGCGATACTTGATTTATTACCATTAGCCGTACCAATTTTAGAAGATTTAAGTGACGTAAGAGAGAACCATGGAATTTTTAATATCATATATGATTGCATGTTACTATAATTCAAACCTTTCTCTTCTTAAATCTTTTCTATTTAAAATGTAAATCATCATAGTGTGTTTTTTTTTTCTATTAATTTTAGCCTAACTCGGACACAGATTTGGCTGAGGTTTTACAAGCTGCTATACCATTGGTTCAAGGATTATCTGAAGCGAGTGAAATTTATTTATTTTGTTGAAATAAAATAAAAATAAAATTGTCATAATTTATTTATTTATTTATTTATTTTAGGGCGGTGGTGAGGATGCTGTTGATATACCAGGAGCCCTAGTACCCATTTTATTAAGTCTCAGTGGAGTAAGTCGTTCGTATCGAGTGTATTAATTAAATCATATTTTTATTAACATTATTTAATAAAGAAAGTGAGAATCGTTTTTTAGGGTCCAGATGGTAAAGGAAGTGACGTAGCAGCTATCGCTGGACCACTTATTCAATTGATAGCACCATTGATAGGACCTTTGATTGGTCCTTTAATTGGTCCTTTGAGTCGTTCCAGTAATCCAGTAAGATTACATATGATATTATATTTTTTAATTATATGAATTTAAATTTTAAAAATATAATTACAAAAATATTATTATAGAATTATTTTTTATATATTTTTATTATAGAATTATTATTAGAATTTAAATAATTAAAAAAAAATATATATATATTTTTTATTTAGCCTTACGGACAGGGTGGTTCATCTTTATCGGCATTGGTAAAATCCGTGGCAGGTCCATTAAGTACGGTAATTTTTTATAATTAATTTTATTAATAAACTAATAAATTATTTTATATTTTATATTGTATAAATTATCGTAAATCTACAAACTTGTATATATGTTCTATCGAATATATTATACATTTTATGTATTTATTTATAAATAATGTTTTTTAATGCAATATACACATTTGTTTTAATAAAATATTTTTGCAGCCAACTGGACCAGGAAAAATGTCACCTCTATCAAATTTAATAGCCGGGATCATTGCTAGTCTGAGCAAAGTACGCAACCCATTTTACCATTTTTTGTTTTTTTTTTATTAATACTTGAGAATGTTACTAATAAGAAAATTAAATGCCATTCATTCGCTACGTTCGATTAACCCAAGAGAATTTTTTTTTCTTTTTTACACACGTCGCCCTGTTCCAATAAAAGACTGCTGCTTGTCTTTTATTTTTAATTTGTTGTATATAATTTCTTTTTTTGTATCTAATGACGCATATAGAATAATAAATTAACGTTTACGCTTATTCGTCATCTCACATATAATAATAATAATAATAATAATAATATAATATCATTTTTAATTAAGAGACTGATTTTAATAATTTTGTTTAATTTTTTAACGCTTTATTTATTATAATTCAATTAATTGTAAGTTTAAGAAAATAATTTTGTGTAAAAGATGTGATATTAAAATGTTGATATTAATTAAACATATTATTTGTATATTTATAGGAAATTTCAGTTCCTGGTAAAGGTGGTTACGGCCCTGGGGGAGGAGGAGGATTAGATTTGTCAACATTGATTAGTACAGTTGTCTCAGGTGTGCTAGCAGGTACTAGTGCTGGACTTAGTGGATCATCCAAAGGTAGTGGTTACAAAGATTCTGCATATTCACCTACAAGCTATGGCGATTATGGTGGTTATGGTGGATACGGTGCTTATGGTCCTGTAAGATATTTTTCATTATTTTATTTAAATAATATTATTATTATACATCAATAATTTAATTAATTGTGTTCCCTTTTGATTACCATAACATTTTCATTTATTTTCAATTTTGTTCGTAAAAACTTTGACAAACGGTACGAACAAATAATTATTTTATTAATTTGGTAACTAATTATAAATATTTTTATATTAATAATAATAATTTTTTTAAACATTGTTTTTTTTTTTTTTTTTGAATTTTTACATAGTTTGTTGAATATATTTTTAGGCGCCAGCAAACGCAGTGAATCCAGTTAATTTGTTGAGTAATTCAATCAAAGGGATTATAAATGGTGCACTACAATTAGTTGGATCATTATTAAAAGCAGTGACAGGTGTATTAGGTGCTTCATCACAAGAACCAGCACCACCTGCTTATGGACCACCACCAGGTTATGGGCCATCTACTACAAGGGCTCCTGCTTACGCTTACAACTCGTATGTAAATGCACCAACCGGACAAACGCCACCTCCACCACCAAGGCAAACCAGTGTGAAGAAACGTATTATTTAATCTTACTTATATAAATAATTATTATTCATCTACTTTTTTTTTTTTTTATTTTTTTTTTTTGCATCTTTTAAACGTGAGATTCGAAATCGGTTTTTTTTTTTTTAAATTTTCGTTTTTGTTTTTATTTCATTATTAAAAAATGGTCTTCGTTTAGATAGGTAAAATGTTTATAGATAAAATCAAATTTGTAATTATGAACAAAAAAGAATATTACACAAGAAAAGTAAGTAGTATAGGAAAATTAATAATGTTGACTTCGACCTGCCATTCTCTTTGCATTTTTCTTTTTTTTTTTTTTATTCACCCTCATTACAAATGAAAAATAAAACAATTGCAACTATTGCAAAATATTTAATCTGTTAAAAAAAAAACAAAAACCAAGAATTAATTAAATTACTTAATTAGAAACAAATTGATGTACACTCAGTGTACAGTACAGTTTAATTATTAATAATCTATATTAATAATTGTAATTTAAATTAATAATTTAAATATTTGAACATTTCTTATATTTATTATTAATTGGATAAAATATTTCAATACTTTATACAAGTAAAAAAATTCATTATTACATCTTTCAAATATTCAAAATCATTCATAATTTGTACACAAATTCTATTAACAGGTAAACTTGTATAAATCCATTAGTATTTGTGTAATACATATTGATTATCTGATTTTATTTATAATTCAAGGATGAAAAATATTTTATCAAAGATATATTATTTTACTTTCACTTTGTCCTAGTTAAATCATTACGTATCATTCATCATCAAAATGTTTCGTAAAGTTTGTTAAATATTTTGTTTTTCATTTTTTATCTCTCGTCTTCTTCTTCTTCTTCTTATTTTTCATTCTCAAAAATGTTTCGTAAATTTTGTTAAATATTTTTTTTTTGATCTCTTATCTTCTTCCTCTTATTTTTCACCATCAAAAATGTTTCGTAAAGTTTGTTAAATATTTTTTTCATTTTTTTATCTCTCATCTTCATCCTTTAATTTTTTTATTTTATTTTTTTTTGTGTATCGTTATTTAATAAAAAAAAAATCAACGAAAGGAGGATTAGTTGGATATAAAAATCCTATAAAAAAAAAAAAAAAGAAAATGATCCGGTTTATTAAATAGGAATGGAAAATAGTTCGCGTGCGATAAATTTCAATGATTTCAAGACTCTGTACATATGTAAGTGAATTAGTATATAAATCCTATCATATATATATATATATATATACCTATATGTACTTATGTGTAACGAAGAAAACGCTTCCGGGATAAAGGAAACCCGGAAATAAAATGAGATTCTAAAGGAAAAGGAGTAATAAATCGTCTCGTCCTGTTCGGCAAACATAATTTTCTTCATCATTCACGTAACACCGAATAAAGATTCGTGAAACGAGTATTATTGTCTCCTATGTAACCCGTTACGAGAATTATATCTGTATGTATGTGTATGTGTATATGTTTGTCTACTTTGTTACGTACTTTTTAACGTTATGCGTGTTAAGGGGAAATCATAAAAGTGAAATTGATAGCCTACTTGTCGGAATAACAATTTTTACAATAAAATAGAACAAGATTATTCGCGTAACCATGATTCAAGATAGAAATTCATTTAATTTTACAGGAACATATGCAAGTATATGAAATATTAAATAATGTCGTACCTGTTTCTAACAGATAAGATTATCTTTTGGTGACGATAATCGGAAAATTTGTTACAACTTCCTAATAATATATTTAAAATGTCTTTTATGTTTATTATTTGTATTTGTATTTTCTTTTTTTTTGTTTTCTTTTTTGGAATGTTACGATTGATAATAATCGAAGAACTAACAGGAACTAAGTTGGTAATGTAGAGAAAGTGATCGAATATTTGTAACTATGTATTATGTAGGTATACTTATCATAATCCCATATAATCCTGACTGATACACATACATGTGTATAAAACAATGTCGATGTATTCTGATTTTTTTTTTTTAATGAATATTAGATTTAATTCAAAAATTTATTCTTAATGATGATTCTTTCAAAATAAAAATTTCAGTACCATATTCCATAGAATTCTGACTGACACATGTATACATATGTGTATAATACAATTTTGATGTATTCTGATTTTTTAAATGAATATTTAATTTAATTTAATTGACAAATTTATTATTAACCCTTTGAGTGGTGAATATTTTTATCTACAATGTTTTTTAGGAATAGAATAATTTATTATTAATCATATTTTAATAACAATTTATATTTAATAATTAAAGTTTATATTTCTGTGAATATAATTTAATTTAATTAATATAAATATTAAATTATTTTACATTAATATTAACGAATACTTATATGAATCGAGTATATGTATCCATAGCACTCAAAGGATTAACGATGATTCTTTCAAAATAAAATATCAGTACCATATCCTCTATAATCCTGACTGTCACACGTATGTATACGTGTGTAATATAATTTCAATGTATTCTGATTTTTTATGAATATTAGATTTTATTCTAAAAATTTATTATTAATGATGGTTCTTTCAAAATAAAAAATTTAATACCATATTCCATAGAATTCTGACTGACACACGTTTATACATATGTATAATACAATTTTGATGTATTTTAATTTTTGAATGAATATTTAATTTAATTTAATACAAAAATTTATCTTTGTATTATAATTCATTCTTTCGGGAGTTAAAAAATTATTATCTAATGAATATTTAATAAAAATAAGTGAGCACGATGAATTGACAAGTAAATTAGCATTTCAAATTCGTGAAGAAAAACGTCAATATTAGACTATAAAAAATTGATTGTTTTCATTTAACGAATAATTAAATTAAGCATGATTGGATTAAGAAGTTTGTATTTCAAATTAGTGAATAAAAAATTTTGAACATTAGGCTATAGATATATAAACAAAAATAATAGAAAATCTTTGGAATGATAGGAAGGGATAATTGAGTTAATAAATATTATATTTGATCATAGTACTTTACAGGAGTGAAAGCACGTTTTATCGTTTGACCTATGAATGTATCTTACTATCGTCCGGAAGATCATTTTCTTCCTTACATTTATCATAACCACCTACGTTCGATATTCAACTTACTACTACATTGAAAATAAACGTAATCGTACGCTTGGCGGACCGTGAAAGTTTCATTGTTATTTCGTTCTTATTATTATTTATCGTATAGAAAGAGAAAGAAAAAAAAAAAGATAGAAATTAAAGGACAACGTAGAAGAAATAATACAAAAATATTTAATTAATCTTAATTGGAAACATTTAAATATAAAATATATATATATATAATATATTAAAATATTTAAAAATCATTTAAGTTAAAAACCATAAACATATTATTTTATTTAACTATCATAAATTTTCTATAACAGATATTCCATAATTTAATTACAGATCGTTTAAAGAATTATTTTAATTATAATACAATTAAATTATTAAAAATAATTATAGAAATATATATATATATATATATTTTATAATTATAATAAAAATAATTATTTAAAAAAATTAAATAAAATTTGTCTGCATAGAAGCATTTAAATATACAAACAAAAAAAAATATATATAAATATTAATATTTTAAAATCATTTGAGTTTATCAATCATAAACATATTATATTATTTATCTATTATACATTTTTTGTAATTTAATTACAGATCGTTTGAAGAAATGTTTCAATTATAATACAATTTTTTTGCATATATAATCTGTCATTGACATAGTTCAATTACGAGGGATAACTGTCATAATTAATAAATAATTATTTGTAATTTTTTTTTAATATAATCTTATTTATAGTTAAACACAAGCATAATAATAGAAAAATTATTTATTAATGTTAACTCAATATTGACGTTATTCAATTATGTTGGACATTGCTACGATACAACAAAAAATTACCTCATTTTTTCCTTCTTCTTTTTTTTTCTTCTTCATAAAACATTTGTTACGATTGAAAAAAAAAAAAAAATGTCACAGTAAATGGGAACACGATAATGAACCTTGAATAAAATAAGATGATGAGTATTTCCAAGTTGTATTAATAATTATTTGCTAATAATGAATTGTATAAGGTTTCAGATAAATTGTAATAAAAATAAACAAGAAAAAATGACATAGATCAATGGTGTATTTATCGCAGGATTAAATTAACAGAAACTTGGAAAATTGAATGAAATATATAAAAGTAGGTCACAAGATTGTTTATTGAACACACAGAGTGAGGAGGATTGTTTATAATATCGTAAGTAGACCACACTAAGATCGTGACCTCTATCCTATCCTTGAGTTTGCTCAGTTGCTAGAAGATCACCATGGATCATTCATAAGAAAGAGATCATCGTTACGTACAAATATAATTCAATAAATACATATAATAGTGGATCACCGTGGTCTAGAATGTCATCTTCTAACATAAATACACGAGTTTATGAAATTAAAAAAAAAAACAAAAAATATCAAAAAAAAATCTTACCTTTTAACATCGAACACGTGTTCGAACACGTTATCGAGACACGACTAATTGACTTTTTTTTTTTTTAATGCAAAATAAAAAAAAAAATTAGAAATGAAACGAAAAGAAAATTGAATACACACTAGGGAGATGTTTTGTAATATTTTTTTTTTTTTTTTTTCATTGATTTATTTTGTAGGAAACCTTGACGAAACTCTTGCAAGAATCAATAAAGAAGATATATGAGTAATTAAAAAAAATATAAATCAATAAAAAAGATAATAAAAAAGCAAATACAAAAGATAATAAAAAAGCAAGTGCAAAAGATAATACAAAAAACCCCGTGTCCCATTAGACTTTGTTTCAATGTTATAGCTGGTTTGATTTTTTTTTTTTTCAATAATCCAATGGTCAAATTGATCAACGTTGGTTGGTATTTCTAAACGGTTGCACTCTCATGAATATTTATCTTTTATTTTTTATTTTTATTTTTATTTTGTTGTCACACACATTCCGGAATAATTAAATTTTCAATCATTACAATTTATA